AACGTGAATAGCAAGTATAATTATACAGAGGGATATACAACGTGAATAGCAAGTATAATTATACAGAGGGATATACAACGTGAATACCAAGTATAATTATACAGAGGGATATACAACGTAAATAGCAAGTATAATTATACAGAGGGATATACAACGTGAATCGCAAGTATAATCATTTAGAGGGATATACAACGTGAATAGCAAGTATAATTATACAGAGGGATATACAACGTGAATCGCAAGTATAATCATTTAGAGGGATATACAACGTGAATAGCAAGTATAATCATACAGAGGGATATACAACGTGAATAGCAAATATAACTATACAGAGGGATATACAACGTGAATAGCAAGTAAAATCATACAGAGGGATATACAACGTGAATAGCAAATATAACTATACAGAGGGATATACAACGTGAATAGCAAGTATAATCATACAGAGGGATATACAACGTGAATAGCAAGTATAATTATACAGAGGGATATACAACGTGAATAGCAAGTATAATCATACAGAGGGATATACAACGTGAATAGCAAGTATAATTATACAGAGGGATATACAACGTGAATACCAAGTATAATCATACAGAGGGATATACAACGTGAATACCAAGTATAATCATACAGGGGGATATACAACGTGAATAGCAAGTATAATTATACAGAGGGATATACAACGTGAATACCAAGTATAATCATACAGAGGGATATACAACGTGAATAGCAAGTATAATTATACAGAGGGATATACAACGTGAATACCAAGTATAATCATACAGAGGGATATACAACGTGAATACCAAGTATAATCATACAGGGGGATATACAACGTGAATACCAAGTATAATTATACAGAGGGATATACAACGTGAATACCAAGTATAATCATACAGAGGGATATACAACGTGAATACCAAGTATAATCATACAGGGGGATATACAACGTGAATAGCAAGTATAATTATACAGAGGGATATACAACGTGAATACCAAGTATAATCATACAGAGGGATATACAACGTGAATAGCAAGTATAATTATACAGAGGGATATACAACGTGAATACCAAGTATAATCATACAGAGGGATATACAACGTGAATAGCAAGTATAATTATACAGAGGGATATACAACGTGAATAGCAAGTATAATCATTTAGAGGGATATACAACATGAATACCAAGTATAATCATACAGAGGGATATACAACGTGAATACCAAGTATAATTATACAGAGGGATATACAACGTGAATACCAAGTATAATCATACAGAGGGATATACAACGTGAATAGCAAGTATAATTATACAGAGGGATATACAACGTGAATAGCAAGTATAATCATACAGAGGGATATACAACGTGAATAGCAAGTATAATTATACAGAGGGATATACAACGTGAATACCAAGTATAATCATACAGAGGGATATACAACGTGAATAGCAAGTATAATCATACAGAGGGATATACAACGTGAATAGCAAGTATAATCATACAGAGGGATATACAACGTGAATACCAAGTATAATCATACAGAGGGATATACAACGTGAATAGCAAGTATAATTATACAGAGGGATATACAACGTGAATAGCAAGTATAATTATACAGAGGGATATACAACGTGAATACCAAGTATAATCATACAGAGGGATATACAACGTGAATAGCAAGTATAATCATACAGAGGGATATACAACGTGAATAGCAAGTATAATCATACAGAGGGATATACAACGTGAATACCAAGTATAATCATACAGAGGGATATACAACGTGAATAGCAAGTATAATTATACAGAGGGATATACAACGTGAATAGCAAGTATAATCATACAGAGGGATATACAACGTGAATAGCAAGTATAATTATACAGAGGGATATACAACGTGTATAGCAAGTATAATATCAAAGAGAGGAATATAACGCTTGACTACCGCATACAACAAGACAGCGAGAAATAGTACACGTATAAAATAAATAATGTAATACAAATCTTTGCATATGAAGTACAATTATAAAGAATAAAATAGAAAGGCAGAACCAAACGCGTCGGGGAGTTTTAGCTCTTTTGTGAAAACCACAACCTCGGGATAATGAACATTACTAGAGATAATCCGAAATTCGAATTCACGGCCTGCAGTGAGGGCCGTAGCTGAAGGCAGGGAAAAGTCATCCATGCAAAATTTACAGGGACCATTTACTGTATGGAAGGTCGGAGACGCGACTTGTATACCCCTTCGTTTAACTGCTAGCTGATGACATGTTATTACCTGAAACAAATGACGCTTGTTATATCATGTCATGATATGCAAATAAATGTAAAAATACCAAAACCAGGACCAGTGGTACTACATGGGCCATAGCCCTCATGTGCCTGTTCTAACATCGTGTCCCCACAACACGGACATGTTATTTATTGTACTTGGGTGTGGGGGCGGTTAATATCGCTCGTATTGTCAATGAGTGGTGGGAATACCGACAGTGTGAAGAAACTTTAGCACAATTCCCATGTGTAAACCTGGTTGTGAAGACAAACAGTCTTGGGGAACTTTAGCACAATTCCCATGTGTAAACCTGGTTGTGAAGACAAACACTGTTGGAGAACTTTAGCACAATTCTTATGTGTAAACCTGGTTGTGAAGACAAAGAGTCTTGGGGAGCTTTAGCACAATTCTTATGTGTAAACTTGGTCGGGAAGACAAACAGTGTTGGAAAACTTTAGGACAATTCTTATGTGTAAACCTGGTTGGGAAGAAAAACAGTTTTGTGAAACATTAGCACGAATCCCGCCTGTAAACCTGGTCGGGAAGACAATCAGTGTTGGCTAACTTTAGCACGATTCTTATGTGTAGACCTGGTTGGGAAAATAAACAGTGTTATGGAACTTTAGCACAATTCCCATGTGTTAACCTGGAAACCGTATGAAGGGAATTTAGCACAATTTCAAAATGTGTAACGAAAAACGACAAAACCATTTCCATAGTCTCCAGTTCTTCTTGATATTGCTCGATATACAGAAACAAAAACTCAAAACATCATGGAAGTAACCTACTGAACTCGTATCATATCATCCACGTATGTATTTATCACCATAACTGCATGCCGTTAAACAACTAATCACACCATGTTTTACTCATGTACACAACCGCTCCGAACAGCGAATGTCTAGTATTGCTTTATAACACAATGCCTGTGCCAAATCAACAAATATCATGGTCCAACGTGTCAATGGTGTTATAAATCTACTATAGCGATATCAGACCTATTTGTGTAACTACACTTTCAACGTTAACATGGTTAATCCAAGGCCTCGAGTGACTTAATTTACATCGTTTTATTTGTTCCTTGTGTCATATAAATTTATGCCACATATTAGGCCAGAATTTTAACTGAGTAAGAAATTTGCCTAAACCACGCAACTTTTAATCGATTTGGGCTTGACTCTAAAACCTGAAGACATGTCCCCTTTTTGTACCGGATTCCATAGCTTCATAAAAATCTCAACAAAGACAGATATATGCTGGGTCCAATAGTCATAGTCTCAAAGATTACCACAGTCCCAAACACAGTAAAGGAAGGATCATTATATATTCTACCCTGAATTTGGAATTTACTCGATTCTGATTGATCAATCAGAGTTTGTCAAATCACAATAAACACTCTCTGATTGAAACAGCCGATTTGACAGCCGCATCACCGCGGAAGCTAATATTAAAAGAATAGTACTTTTTTCATTGTCGGTAGGCACATTAAAAACATATACATTTACAATTATAGGTTACCAAATGCAAAGTACGACTGTGGCGTCATATCTTTTGCGTCACAATGAGCTTTGCAAGGCTTTCTTAGTTTTTTTAGGGGTGCCCACCTTATGTTAACTTACGAAGTTGCCGTGCTTATACGCTTTCAATGTCTGAAATATGTTCAAGTGAAGTATTACGGTGTAAACAAACTGCTTGAGCATGTACAGCGCAATATTTTGTTAAAACGCTGTTGTCGGTGATTTCACCGTAATTCAGATCGGCAACCCACTCAAAACACTGGACTCAACTCGTGCCACTTCACTCAACATAGAGTTCGCGTTTTGTTGGTCATGGAAGAATGGAGATAAACATGCTGTGTTTTTAATGTACAACTAGGTTACCTGTAGATTTAGCCGCTCTAAATTTAACATTTGAAACCTCACGTCAATATGTTTATCTCCTTATTCACAGAAAGTATTTGAAAATAGTGGAATTAATACCACGTGGACTCTCAAAAACTCAAAGGATTTGCTTGACGTTTTGCAATCTCAGAACCAAATTCAATTGTGCCAAAATTTTGATTTGTCAACTTGGTACACCACTAATCCACACGGCACACCTAACGAAAAACTTCATTTCTTGATCCATGATTTGTCACTAAACGTAGTGAACATAGATACAGTCATATATCCATCTTCAAAGGTTCGATACATTTTGTCAAAAACATAAGCAAATGCCATCTGAAGTTTAGTGAGCAAACAACATATCACATGCAGCGCTTACTCATAGATGACATTTATGCGAAATGTGGGACATTTCGGCATCCCAATGGGCGCTAATTGTGCTCCCTTTCTTGATGATCAGTTTCTATATTTCGGAATTTCGGCTGGGATTGGCAAAATCAAAACAAGATAATTTGTGCAAGCAGTTTAACTTCGGCTTCAGGTCACTCGATGATCTGATGTCGTCCAACAATGGTCAAATAGCCAAGTCCCTTCCGCTGATTCACCCATCTGAGCTAGAAATCTCGGAGACCAGTGAAACCACACCTTTCAAATTCAGTTCCAGTAGGTATTTTCGGTTTTGAAACTTATTGTCATTTTGTTACAAAGCGATCCTAGCGCTAAGGTGTTCGTAACTCACATACTTTAACACAGACTTGCGGCAGTTGTAGCGCTACGGTCGCTTTGAGGAACGGGAGCGTGAGGTTTTATTTGACAAGTCAGTTCCTCCCGTGCAGGTTGTGATACACTGTGGTCATGGACATCGTGAACCTGCCGACGTCGATCTCCCAGGAGGACCTTGACATGCTGAGGACGTGGGTGACGGAGAATCCAGCTTTCACTGAAGATTTTCTCCTCAACGAGGACTCACAGGCGTCTCATGTCTCAGACGCCGAGGTGCTGTTTGGAACTCTCAACACCAGCATCGTCAAGTCACCAAGATGTGATAACGTAAGTCCAACACTATTGATACAAAGTATAGCAAGGTCGCCAAGATGTGATAACGTAAGTCCAACACTATTGATACAAAGTATAGCAAGGTCGCCAAGATGTGATAACGTAAGTCCAACACTATTGATACAAAGTATAGCAAGGTCGCCAAGATGTGATAACGTAAGTCCAACACTATTGATACAAAGTATAGCAAGGTCGCCAAGATGTGATAACGTAAGTCCAACACTATTGATACAAAGTATAGCAAGGTCGCCAAGATGTGATAACGTAAGTCCAACACTATTGATACAAATTATAGCAAGGTCGCCAAGATGTGATAAAGTAAGTCCAACACTATTGATACAAAGTATAGCAAGGTCGCCAAGATGTGATAAAGTAAGTCCAACACTATTGATACAAATTATAGCAAGGTCGCCAAGATGTGATAAAGTAAGTCCAACACTATTGATACAAAGTATAGCAAGGTCGCCAAGATGTGATAAAGTAAGTCCAACACTATTGATACCACGCTAAAATTGTATGGTCTGTGCACCAATCCTGATTCAAAACACCGCAAGGCAACTCCAATTTTGCAATGTAAGTCCACCATACCTGATGGAAAACAGCACAAAAAAGGTTGCCAAGGTGTTATGCTCATCTATGCTGATAAAAATCACTAGAAATTCACATCACCAATTTTTGTCAAAGAAAGTGAATGGTCAGCATTATTAGACAACCATTGTAGAGTTATTTGAATATGTTCAAAACTGACTAACGCACGCAATGGCCAACATTTCCCAAAATATTAGTTTTAACATTGTTGTTTTAAGGGCAGGAATGTGTCTTTTTAAGTTTCTAGTAAAAAAGGTAAACAATGTCACCGATCAAGAATACATTTTCAAAATAAATCATCATGTATTCCACGTGTAACATACGATGTACACCCAGAAGGCCATGTTTGAACATACCAGCCGTACACCTTGAAGCAGGCGAGAGGGGCGGTCGGGTAGCCTAGTGGTTAAAGCATTCGCTCATCACGCTGAAGACCCGGGCTCGATTCCCGACATGGGTACAATGTGTGAAACCCATTTCTTGGCGTAAAACCAGACTCACCCGCTCACTGAAGCAGACAAGAAGCTTTTTTTCACGCCAAATTCTTTTATTACCTCTTCCAGATAAACAGCCATGAAGCTGTACGCCTGAGGCGAGAGTCAAGCATCATGGGTAGACGTGGAACAGTCAGCGTTTACAACGCCGGAAACACCAAACTTGGCAACCTCGGACCACCGCTTGATGAACCTTTGACCACCATCCTAGATGATGGTGTTGCTAGAATTGATGCGTGAGATCCCGTTTCCTTGTGGCCTCTCTTTGAATGAGTGACTATGGATAAAAACAAATACATGAAGTCGTCATACGATTTCGTTAAATTCGATTTTCACATTGTCAATAGCGGTTTAACTGTTAGGTAAGTGGTATGGTTAGAATCGGCTTGGCAGTGACTGGACAGACACAATGTTCGATGTTCAGAAAGACGGAACGCTATTTCATATGGACATACTATCATTGAATTTAGAACCAGGAACTGGTACATAATTGTGACAAGTATCAACATGTTTAATTACAAAAAATGATTGTCTTAAATGTGCAGTAAACTACGTTTATAACGAAGATGCTTAAAGCGAACTGACGGATATAGCGAACTATTTCTTGGCCCTGTTCATTTGCTGTATATATGCAGTGCTTATGGTCATAGTGCACTACGTTTATAACGAATTAAATTTGCGTTCCCTTTGAGTTATTTATCACCGTAGTTTACTATACATGTATTTCGTATAGGTGATCACTGAGCGACATTGACATTGGCTTTCTATATTTCTTCAGAATGACACTTGACTTGAGTGGTATGGGTGACCAGGAAGTGCCTCTCCAGCTCACACTCTATGGAAGCGCTGCTAACAGACTCAAGTGCCAAGACATACTTCGGGGAGCTGAGATAGAGTTTGAAAGAACTACTGAGCCGACCCCTGACATGTCACCTGACATGTCCCTTGACAGGTCACCGGAGACAACCAGCGACAGGTCACCTCAGATTGACCTGACCAGGTCACCCCGAGTGTCCCTTGACAGGTCACCAGAGACAGCCACCAGGTTAACTGAGATTGACCTGACCAGGTCACCTGAGATCGACCTGACCAGGTCACCTGACATGTCCTTTGACAATTCATTGGATGCAACCTTTGACAGGCCGCCTGATTTACTCTTTAATCGGCCGCCAGAGATACCGTTTGCCAGACTACAGACTATTGACAGTTCATCTCGCCCTTCCCTTGACGTCACGCCCGGACCAAGCTTCACCAGCTTACCACTATTCCACGACAGGGTACCCGGGACATCGATTGACCTGACCGGACCAGACCTGGACATATTGCCCGAACCAACTGTACATATGCTACCCCCAAGAATACTTGACCGTTTAGCTCAGATAGATTTTTCAAGCTCTCCTGAGGCAGCCTTGGACTCAATAGCAGCAATAAACTTTGGTTCAAATGACCAAACTGAGCCAGTTGATCTCACAACACATGACTCAACAACAGAACAGTTGGCATCCTGGTACACTAATTTCGAACCCAACCCGCATATAGCAGTGGACAGCCATCGAGAAATTGTATCCCATGATGAGGTAAGTTGATACCAAAACTGTTTCTCTGACAAATTAAAATTTAAAAAGATCTATAACGTATTATGTTAAAGCAGATGAAATTTTCGATTACCACAAAGAAAACCTATATTTTTCCTGGTTAGGTAAATAATAGTCGTGTCTAATGAATGACCATTGATACCTTTGTTTAACGAATATCATGAAATGTTGAAACCTATATAAATATATGATTTGTACAAGGTTACATAAAGCCTTGTACAAATCTTCAAAACAAAGGTGCTTTTTCAGTAAGTACAAAAGTACAGAGCCACCGTGGTGCCCCGGGTTAGAATAGGTTATCAGCACTTGCTTGTGGGAGGCCTCTACATTGGGTCGGTGACTTGCTTGTGGGAGGCCTCTACATTGGGTCGGTGACTTGCTTGTGGGAGGCCTCTACATTGGGTCGGTGACTTGCTTGTGGCAGACCTCTACATTGGGTCGATGACTGGCTTGTGGGAGGCCTCTACATTGGGTCGGTGACTTGCTTGTGGGAGGCCTCTACATTGGGTCGGTGACTTGCTTGTGGCAGGCCTCTACATTGGGTCGGTGACTTGCTTGTGGCAGACCTCTACATTGGGTCGGAGACTTGCTTCTGGGAGGCCTCTACATTGGGTCGGTGACTTGCTTGTGGCAGACCTCTACATTGGGTCGGAGACTTGCTTGTGGGAGGCCTCTACATTGGGTCGGTGACTTGCTTGTGACAGGCCTCTACATTGGGTCGGTGACTGGCTTGTGGGAGGCCTCTACATTGGGTCGGTGACTTGCTTGTGGCAGACCTCTACATTGGGTCGGTGACTGGCTTGTGGGAGGCCTCTACATTGGGTCGGTGACTTGCTTGTGACAGGCCTCTATATTGGGTCGGAGACTTGCTTGTGGGAGGCCTCTACATTGGGTCGGTGACTTGCTTGTGGCAGGCCTCTTCATTGGGTCGGTGACTTGCTTGTGGCAGACCTCTACATTGGGTCGGTGACTGGCTTGTGGGAGGCCTCTACATTGGGTCGGTGACTTGCTTGTGACAGGCCTCTATATTGGGTCGGAGACTTGCTTGTGGGAGGCCTCTACATTGGGTCGGTGACTTGCTTGTGGCAGGCCTCTATATTGGGTCGGAGACTTGCTTGTGGGAGGCCTCTACATTGGGTCGGTGACTTGCTTGTGGCAGGCCTCTTCATTGGGTCGGTGACTTGCTTGTGGCAGACCTCTACATTGGGTCGGTGACTGGCTTGTGGGAGGCCTCTACATTGGGTCGGTGACTTGCTTGTGACAGGCCTCTATATTGGGTCGGAGACTTGCTTGTGACAGGCCTCTATATTGGGTCGGTGACTGGCTTGTGGCAGGCCTCTACATTGGGTCGGTGACTTGCTTGTGACAGGCCTCTATATTGGGTCGGAGACTTGCTTGTGGGAGGCCTCTACATTGGGTCGGTGACTTGCTTGTGGCAGGCCTCTTCATTGGGTCGGTGACTTGCTTGTGGCAGACCTCTACATTGGGTCGGTGACTGGCTTGTGGCAGACCTCTACATTGGGTCGGTGACTGGCTTGTGGCAGGCCTCTACATTGGGTCGGTGACTTGCTTGTGACAGGCCTCTATATTGGGTCGGAGACTTGCTTGTGGGAGGCCTCTACATTGGGTCGGTGACTTGCTTGTGGCAGGCCTCTTCATTGGGTCGGTGACTTGCTTGTGGCAGACCTCTACATTGGGTCGGTGACTGGCTTGTGGGAGGCCTCTACATTGGGTCGGTGACTTGCTTGTGACAGGCCTCTATATTGGGTCGGAGACTTGCTTGTGGGAGGCCTCTACATTGGGTCGGTGACTTGCTTGTGGCAGGCCTCTACATTGGGTCGGTGACTTGCTTGTGACAGGCCTCTACATTGGGTCGGTGGTCAGACTCGGTAGAGTGTCATCGTACCCGAGGTCGTGGGGCGTTGCCCATAATAACTACCACTGGGTTTGTCTGATTATTTCCAAATAACCTTGATAGTGCTGAAATAGTGTTGACTAGCGTAAAACAAAGAAAGAAAGCCTGTCACAGATTGATTCAGGACGCATCAATTAAAACATTATTGTGGCTTCACACAGCTTCATTCGTCACGATATGTCTGAAATATTGCCGATTTTGACTCACTCACTCACTCACACACTCACCCACCCACCCACCCACCCACTCACTCACTCACTCACTCACTCACTCACTCACTCACCCACCCACCCACCAACCCACTCACTCACTCACTCACTCACTCACTCACCCACTCACCCACTCACTCATTCACCCACCCACTCGCTCACTCACCCACTCACTCACTCACTCACTCACTCACTCACTCACTCACTCACTCACCCACTCACCCACTCACTCACTCACTCACTCACTCACTCACCCACCCACCCACCCACTCACTCACTCACTCACTCACTCACTCACTCACACACTCACTCACTCACTCACTCACTCACTCACTCACTCACTCACTCAGCTTCAACTATCCCAACAGCTTCATTCCTGGTGATGTTTTTCTCCTCAGATGAACAGTGATATCGACCGGGTGTTTGAGACTCTCAATGAAGGAGATAAGACTTCAGAACAGGAACCAGCAGAGGTAGATATAGTGGATTTATTTGTCAGGGTGGGCAATGTGCCTGATGGGTATACATGACAGTCATAGGCCATTGGGGAATTTAGGTCATGTCATGCACATGTAATGTATTAGACATACATTTGACATATACAGTCATGATCATAGCTAAGTCATATGTCATGTACAGGTCTTGAATTGGTCATGTTAGGTCAAGGTCATGTCTGTCATGTAGACCCGTGAAGATCCGGGGTAGAATAAGTCTTCAGTAACCCATTCTTGCCGTAAAAGGCGACTATGCTTGTTGTAAGAGGCGACTATGGGGATCGGGTGGGCAGGATCGCTGACTTGGTTGATGCATTGCATCGTATCCGTTGTCTTGTCCAGACGCGAATATTTACAGACCATCGTGATATTGCTGGAAAATTGCTGCATGTGGCGTTAAATAACAAACAAACAATAATATGAGCCACGTAAGCTCATGGATAGGTCATATATAGGTCATGTAAGGTCAAGGTCATGCATATGTAATGTAAGGCCATGTATACGTCATGCATACGATATGTACAGGTAATAGATATGTCATGTCCATCTGATGGATGAGTTTAGATCTTTCACAAGTCACAGATAAGCCATACGTAGGAAGATGGCTAGATCATCCGAGGATAATTAGCAGGCACAGCATAGACCATTGACTGGTGAGGGAACAAAGGCTATGTGTAATATCGTACATTATTGCTTTCTAAAAGCATGGGTAGATTCAATAGACATATGAGAATATGTTACCACTTACAATTATCTAGATATGACAGCCCTAATTATAAGGTACAATTAAAGGTAGAATGCGAGAATGGTAGAATGTAAGCTTCACTTGAATGGGGGCACGGGTGGCCCAGTCGTCTAAGGCGCCGCGATTCGCTGTGCAGAGTTGCGTCCCTTGGGCACGCCAGAAACCTTTGATTGTGGGTTCGAATACCGGTTCGCCCCGATTATGTTTCTAGGTTTCTCAGCACTATACCCGTGCTCGTGGGTTCCAGCAAAGTGGTAAATGTCTGAGACCTGCATCACTTCGGGCTTTCCTACCACATTAAGCTGACACGCCGTGATATAACTGGAATAATGTTAAAAGCGGCGTTAAGCCCAACTCACTCACTCACTCTTTTGAAATTGAAACTATTTGTGATATCCCAACATCCCCTGTACCTCCAGGCTGTGGGAACGCCCCTGTACCCGCATCAGAAGCAGGCCCTGTGTTGGATGATGAGCAGGGAGAATGGCGACCACTTGCCACCATTCTGTGAGGAGAAGACAAGCGGGGAATACCGCAACACCCTGCTCAACTTTTCAACGACAGAGAGACCACCTAGTATCAGGGGAGGTAAGTCTGGGGAAATAGTTTGAAGATCCAAGAAAATCCCACACATGTAATTTGACCGACGTTCCTTAACTTCACTGATTTGTGACCCGTGCGCTGTGCATAGGACTACATGCTACCACACATATGTATCTAACAAGGATTGAACGTTAACTATGGCTATTAGATTAATTTTATTCATCAAACCTATCTCCTTGAACCAAACCCTATCTCTAATTGTAACCAATACCTTGAACAAATTATAAAACTGCTAACAGTATTTTGCTTTAAAGAGGGAGTACCAAATTACAAAGATACGAGGGAAGGTGATCGCAATCTCCTAACAATGCTATCCAAACTAAACAGGTCTGTCTGGACAATGCACTCTCCATTCGGCATGGCTGTAAATTATTCTCTTTTTCTTTGGAGTTTACTGGACATAAATGGGTTAAGCTAAGAGGTTATTGCCACAGCATCACGTAGAGATTGCTATTAGGTGCAATATCTTTAACTAATATTTGTTATGTTTTGTAGCGCATAAGTGAGTGATTGAGTGAGTTTTACGCCGCTTTTAGCAATATTCCAACAATATCACGGCGGGGGACACCAGAAATGGGCTTCACACATTGTACCCACGAGCGAACGCTTTGGCCAACCCCTTGTGGCGCATAAAGAAATGATATTCAGTCTTAAAGAAGCAGCACACACACACACACACACACACACACACACACACACACACACACACACACACACACACACACACACACACACACACACACACACACACATATGATGGTTAAATAGACATTATCAAATTTAACAATAGTTCTTTCAATTTTCAATCATATAAAAACAAATTCGGTACCCTTTCTTTTGCCCCTCAGTTTATATTTATCTCCGTGACATCTCGGGGTAGAATAGGTCTTCAGCAACCCATGCTGGTCGTAAGAGGCGACTAACGGGATCGGGTGGTCAGGCTCGCTGACTTGGTTGATTCATCTCTTCGTATCCCAATTGCGTTGATCGATGCTCATGGTATCAATCACTGGATTGTCTGGTCCAGACTCGATTATACACAGACCGCCGCCATTAGCTGGAATGTTGCTGAGTGTGGCGTTAAACAAACAAACAAACAAACATACACATGTACAGCACGTTTCCTCCGTGTGACACCAGGTATTCTGGCTGATGACATGGGGCTGGGGAAGACGCTGGAGACGATCGCCCTGATTTTCACCAACTTTGTCCACAACCAACCTCTGGCTGTTCCTGTGCCAGGCAAACCCAGACGCGGGAAAGAAAATAAGGTGGGTTATTGCTTCCATCTTTCGATACGCTGATAGAGTTTGGGTAGACCCCACGCGACCTGCTGGTCTCGTTCACGTGACTGTCACGCGATACAAAACAACATGGCTGGTGCTGTGACCTTATAGACGCGTTCACAGTAAATATATTTTGCTTTTGTTTTTAATTATCAAAGTCTGTTCTTATTTCTTATAAGCATGTTCTGTTTGTTGTTTAACGACACACTCTGCAATATTCCGCCATCTACATAATACGTCGGATAGCACGCGAGTAGTGACTTGCCATGACGTCACCCGTGTACCGCCTCCACCTTGCTCGTCCAACATGAGGCTACTTCTAATAACATGTATGTACACGCCTTGAAGAGACCCGGGGTAGAATAGGTCTTCAGCAACCCATGCTTGCCGTAAAAGGCGACTATGCTTGTCGTAAGAGGCGACCAGCGAGATCGGGTGGTCAGGCTCGCTAACTTGGTTGATACATGTCATCATATCCCAATTGCGTGGATCGATGCTTATGATGTCAGTCACTGAATTGTTTGGTCCAGACTCGATTATTTACAGACCGCCGTCATATAGCTTGAATACTGCTGAGTGCGGCGTAAAACAACAAACAAACAGTTACGATTACACGATTTACTGTGTGTTAAATTAAGAAGACCGCATTGGTTACTGGTTTGATACCGGACTCGACCCCATTATATCCGTCCGTCAGTACCTTGACCTTGCTAGCAAACTACTGCTTCCAATGCTTTCATTTCCTCTTACTGTAATCATGTACGCTATCAGTTGTAGAACTGAAATACTGTTAAATATGCGTACATGCACGTCGCTATATAAGTGCAATAATCTTTGACGCGACGTTAAACCCCACGTCACCCCTCCTGTTAAATACGACGTTAACGTAAGTTACCCACTTACAGATTCCGTCGGAGGACACACCTGAAGGTACAGGCACTGACCCTGAAAACAAGGTGAAGGTCGAAAACAAGGTGAAGGTCGAAAACAACAACGATGAGATGTTCCAACGGCTTCAGAAGGTGGATGAGCTTGTCACAAAGATGGAAGCGGAGGAACAATTGTCAACTTCAGGAACTGCTAATCCTTGCACACCCACCACTGACATACCACCGCCAACTGATGAGACTAAAAGTGGTTTATTAAAGCTACGTCTTCTGAAAGCGGATAGTTCTAATATTGAGAACAATAATGCAAGTGATCCAGGTAAATATCTCAAAGTAAGGCACACAAGCACGCACACATTATTGACGATACCTTTCCGAACGAAAACGATATGCATTTCAATGTCGTTTGTATTCAATGAAAAATGCTAATTTTGACAGAAGCTATGTCGACATGTGTTGAATAGATTGAATTTGAAGAGGCTTGACTAGTGGCGAATGTGACATTCATGTACACATGTGTACATGTCTATATTTTTATTAGTAGTAGTAGCAGGAGGAGGAGGAGTATGTACACATTAAATGTTTTTAAAACTGCAGCCTTCTGCATTACCCAGGTTGTCAGAAGGGCTGTATTCCTGGTAGCAAATTATTATTATTATTATTATTATTATTATTATCATTATTATTATTATTATTAGGGACGGAAACAGTCGAGCAGCGCGTGCCAGACACGAGCGACAAGGAACAAAAGAGGCCCATTTTATCGATGACAAGGTGAGAATTTTGAAGAAGAATACGTTAGACGTCATCAAAGTTGCAGTATCACGGCAGCGTGGAAGATGGCCAAGTGTCCACCAGGCAGCGGTCATCATGCTGGTCAATGATCTAAGTACATGGACTATAATGCTCACCATCCATTGTGACCCCAGACCCCGAAAATCCTTAATGGGGACCTACTCTGACCCGAATACATACATTCGTGACATACCTCATCTTTGTTTGTTTGTTGTTTAACGCCGACCTAAGCAATATTCCAGCTACATGGCGGCGGTCTGTAAATAATTGCTTCTGGACCAGACAATCCAATTATTGACATCATGAACATCGATCTACGCAATTGGGATACGATGACATGTATCAACTAAGTCAGCGAGCCTGACCACCCGATCCCGTTCGTCACGTCTTACGGCAAGCATCTGTTGGTGAAGATCATTCTACCCCGGATCTTCACGGGTCACATACCTCATCTAATGTATGGGTTGGTTACAGCTATGTTGTTATGCGCCTGTTCTAATGGTTATGCTACATTGCGTTTGTTTGAATTGCAGCCCATCAAGGAAAGCCATTTTGATAGATTTCCACGAACAGCCTTCCAAACGAAAGAGGCGAAGTTTATGTAAGTTTGAAGACGTTGTAGCAATTGAGAGATGTTTTTGTTATTTTTAATCAAGGTGATGTGAGGTGAAATGGGGTTTAACGTCGCGTCCAAGATTATTGCCCTTATATAGCGACGTGCATGCACACGTGTGTGTTTGTGTGGCTGCTTGTACTAGTCCAGACTGATGCCGATTTATATGGCTAGCACACTGAAATACAATGCCGCAGTTTAACATGAACACCCCACTCAGACACAGTATACTGACCCCGAGCCGACCAGTCCTTGTTTTAGTCTCTTAATTCCGAGCGCCAGACAGGCTAATATAGACATCTTTTAATGTCTTTTAGTATGACGCTGCCGGGGATCGAACCCCGGACCTTCCGCTCTCCGGGCGGACGCTCTACCACTAGACTGAGACGGTCTTTTTTTTTTATCAAGGATTACATTTTCCTATTCTTTGTATTCAAATATATCGTGAATAGAACCAGTATGTCATATAGCATCATCACACATCGAGGTTGAAATGGCTGTTCATAAATTGCTCTGATCGCTGTATACGATCAGGTAATGCTGAACCTCGGCAGATGCTGTATAGAATTTAGACAGTCATTGTATACACCGATTGCTATAAATGCTTACAAACTTACAGCTGCACGCACTGATCATTTCAAACTGCGGTAGTTGCTGTATATGCTAGTTGATGGTGCTGTGTATAATAAAACACTGTATAATCTTCATGCTGTCAACTACTGCTGTACATGATCAGTTGTTGATGATGCTGTGTATAACAAAACACTGTATAATCTTCATGCTGTCAACTACTGCTGTACATGATCAGTTGTTGGAGGTGCTGTGTATAATAAAACACTGTATAATCTTCATGCTGTCAACTACTGCTGTACATGATCAGTTGTTGGAGGTGCTGTGTATAATAAAACACTGTATAATCTTCATGCTGTCAACTACTGCTGTACATGATCAGTTGTTGGAGGTGCTGTGTATAATAAAACACTGTATAATCTTCATGCTGTCAACTACTGCTGTACATGATCAGTTGATGGAGGTGCTGTGTATAATAAAACACTGTATAATCTTCATGCTGTCAACTACTGCTGTACATGATCAGTTGTTGGAGGTGCTGTGTATAATAAAACACTGTATAATCTTCATGCTGTCAACTACTGCTGTACATGATCAGTTGTTGGAGGTGCTGTGTATAATAAAACACTGTATAATCTTCATGCTGTCAACTACTGCTGTACATGATCAGTTGTTGGAGGTGCTGTGTATAATAAAACACTGTATAATCTTCATGCTGTCAACTACTGCTGTACATGATCAGTTGTTGGAGGTGCTGTGTATAATAAAACACTGTATAATCTTCATGCTGTCAACTACTGCTGTACATGATCAGTTGATGGAGGTGCTGTGTATAATAAAACACTGTATAATCTTCATGCTGTCAACTACTGCTGTACATGATCAGTTGTTGGAGGTGCTGTGTATAATAAAACACTGTATAATCTTCATGCTGTCAACTACTGCTGTACATGATCAGTTGTTGGAGGTGCTGTGTATAATAAAACACTGTATAATCTTCATGCTGTCAACTACTGCTGTACATGATCAGTTGTTGGAGGTGCTGTGTATAATAAAACACTGTATAATCTTCATGCTGTCAACTACTGCTGTATATGATCAGTTGTTGGAGGTGCTGTGTATAATAAAACACTGTATAATCTTCATGCTGTCAACTACTGCTGTATATGATCAGTTGTTGGAGGTGCTGTGTATAATAAAACACTGTATAACCTTCATGCTGTGAACTACTGCTGTACATGATCAGTTGTTGGAGGTGCTGTGTATAATAAAACACTGTATAATCTTCATGCTGTCAACTACTGCTGTACATGATCAGTTGATGGAGGTGCTGTGTATAATAAAACACTGTATAATCTTCATGCTGTCAACTACTGCTGTACATGATCAGTTGTTGGAGGTGCTGTGTATAATAAAACACTGTATAATCTTCATGCTGTCAACTACTGCTGTACATGATCAGTTGTTGGAGGTGCTGTGTATAATAAAACACTGTATAATCTTCATGCTGTCAACTACTGCTGTATATGATCAGTTGTTGGAGGTGCTGTGTATAATAAAACACTGTATAATCTTCATGCTGTCAACTACTGCTGTACATGATCAGTTGTTGATGGTGCTGTGTATAATAAAACACTGTAGAATCTTCATGCTGTCAACTACTGCTGTACATGATCAGTTGTTGGAGGTGCTGTGTATAATAAAACACTGTAGAATCTTCATGCTGTCAACTACTGCTGTACATGATCAGTTGTTGGAGGTGCTGTGTATAATAAAACACTGTAGAATCTTCATGCTGTCAACTACTGCTGTACATGATCAGTTGTTGGAGGTGCTGTGTATAATAAAACACTGTATAATCTTCATGCTGTCAACACCTGCTGTACATGATCAGTTGTTGGAGGTGCTGTGTATAATAAAACACTGTATAATCTTCAAGCTGTCAACTACTGCTGTACATGATCAGTTGTTGGAGGTGCTGTGTATAATAAAACACTGTATAATCTTCATGCTGTCAACTACTGCTGTACATGATCAGTTGTTGGAGGTGCTGTGTATAATAAAACACTGTATAATCTTCATGCTGTCAACTACTGCTGTATATGATCAGTTGTTGGAGGTGCTGTGTATAATAAAACACTGTATAATCTTCATGCTGTCAACTACTGCTGTACATGATCAGTTGTTGGAGGTGCTGTGTATAATAAAATACTGTATAATCTTCATGCTGTCAACTACTGCTGTATATGATCAGTTGTTGGAGGTGCTGTGTATAATAAAACACTGTATAATCTTCATGCTGTCAACTACTGCTGTATATGATCAGTTGTTGGAGGTGCTGTGTATAATAAAACACTGTATAACCTTCATGCTGTCAACTACTGCTGTACATGATCAGTTGTTGGAGGTGCTGTGTATAATAAAACACTGTAGAATCTTCATGCTGTCAACTACTGCTGTATATGATCAGTTGTTGGATGTGCTTCTATTATCTTACTGCCAGAAGAAACGCGAATACCATACATGTTGGTTAATATATGAAGAATTACTCACATTCAAGAGATATTAGATTGGTTCGATGCACAAACGAATATACTGTTATGTTGTGTGAACCGACGTCCATGAACGCATCACATGTGACGTCTTAGATCCATGATTCGAGATGCACCATTTGTCTCGTGCAGGATTAGTGTCTAAAGTTTGGAAATCACGTGCAGCATATCGTGATAAAAATAAAGACACGCTGTGGTAACACGTGGCTGATTGTTAGTTATGTCATTATGTGACACACATTGTAAACATCTCTTCTTAGCGTACATACTTCTCTATATGTTTCTATGGTTCACGTTTCTTTGAGTATATGTACCTTCCGTGTTGTTTTATATTACCGGTGAGTTCTGTTCTAACATGTCATGTTTTGTCACGTTCCAGCTTCCCCATCGAAATATGAAGAGTCAAAATGGAGAAAACTGCATCTAGACAGGCCGCCCGCAGAACAGGAATCCTATAGCCACCCTAGCTCACAGGACAAGGTTACCGATGATTCTGATAGGAAGACAGGTGAAGACGTCAACATGGACGACAGTGGCGACTCAGATACATGCATGCAGGACATCACCGACGATGTGAGCAAAGTAAAGTCGGAGGACGTTGACACGGATGTTAAGCATCCGATCTGTAGAAGTGAGGCACATCCGCAAAACACGTGTGAGGAAACACCTCTGACCTTCTCTGATGAAGATGAACTTCCGGATGTCGAGAGTAAGGAGGAAGAGGAGGAAGAGGAGGAGGAAGTCTGTGATGCAGACTCGGACATGAAGGGTGAGCATCATTGACGTGATTATAGTAAGCCTTAACCCTATTTGGAACCGAATAAGTGTCCCTTCATTTCATATATAAATTGTGCTTTGTATTGTTGACCCTCCTCCTGTACGAGACATGTCGGATTGTCCAAATCAAAACAAGGTAATTTTGCCAAGAAGTCTAACTTAGGCTTCTGATATATCGATGATCTGATATTGTTCAATAACATTCAAATGGTCAATTCCGTTCGACTGATTTACCCACCTGAACTAGAAATAAAGGAGACCAGTGAGGCCGCCTCATCTGTTTCGTATGTATATCTATGCACAAAGATTTAGAGTGACAAAACACTCTCCACAAGACTGCATGGCAAGAGGGATGACTTCAACTTTTCAATAGTTAACTTTACCTTCATGTCGAGCAATATTCCAGCAGCTCCAGCCTTTGGTGTTTACATTTCACAACTTTTGAGATACAATCGAGTATGCTCTTTCTACCAAGATTTCAAAGAGCGTCATACGACTCATGCTCAGAAGTTGTTTGATCAAGGTTACAACTTTCAAGGCCACAGTAAAGCTTTAAAAAAGCAAAGCATGTTAGATGTGGAGGACCTTTTTCCAATGTGAAGCATCAGTGACAAAAATGACGTCCGATGCAATTCCCTACTTGGACTTGTACCATATGTTCCCGTCTTTTTTCAGGTGAATAATTGACTTGCCTTTGCATGTGTTTGTGACGGGTTCCATCGGTGGGTCAGGATACGCTCACCTTTTTTCGAACACCCGGTGTCACTATTTGGTAGTGATTCATAAACACATGCTCATGGAATAGTCTGAATCGCACAATCGACTCTGTGTAATGCAGATGTTTCTATTGGATATGGAAAGAATTTTCTCGCTTTATTTTCAGACTTCATGACAGCAAATCACTGTGACGAACGAGGGCGGACACTCAGTGAAGACTGCGACCCACGCGGTACCTTGATTATCTGCCCCTTGAGCGTGATGAGTAACTGGCAGGTGAGGGTATATTACAGCAGGAGGTTCACGGCCTACAGGAGTCTTAGTCCAACCTTGGCCGACTGTATTACAATCGCACTAATGCAAACACGAAACTCGTCAGGTATACATGGGTCGGCCTGCAACGATGACGTTGGTATGGTATGGTCGACTAGGAGACTACAGTTAATCCTACAATTTAGGAATTTCCAGCCAAACAACCTGGGACTGTATTTATTTGAACAATGAATAGAGACATCCGCACTCAGAAAAACGTCACTAGAAAGACACATTTTGAACATCAAAGGAGAATCAATTTTGGATTTCTTGTCACAAATATATCGCGAGCCGACCGTAGTAGATCGATGCAAGGGTTTAAGAAATGATGTGTGAGATATGTGTCACCAAGTTGCAGCATGTATTTTTTCCATTACATTTTTATTTGAATGTAAACAAAAATAGAATATAAACTATTGTTAACACAATATGGAAATTATAATAGTTGCACGGATTAGACTTGAGTGAGTATGGTTTAACACCTTTTTCTTTTAGCAATATTCCAGCAATATCACGGCGGGGGACACCAGCAATGGTTTTCACTCATTATACCAATGTCGGGAATCGAACCCTTGTTTTCGGCGTGACGAGCCAACGCTTTAACCACTAGGCTACCGACCGCCCCTGGATTGATTGATGTGACTTTATTGTTTACAGGGTCAGCTTGAAGAACACGCCCATCCAAACGTCCACATTGACGTCCACCTTTACTATGGCAACCAGCGGTGTAAGGATGTCAATCTTCTGAAGCAGAAGGATGTAGTCATCACAACGTACGGCATCCTGCTCAGTGAGTTTAAAGTAAGTATTGTCCTGGTACATCCTGATACCTACTGCAGATAAACATGGAATACCATGTGCCATACACCGACCTACTCGATGTTACAGAAACACACCAGATCCTGCTCAGGGCGCTCGGTGTAGTTACACTGGTGTAACACCCTGACACACACTGCAGAATACCATGTACCATACACCGACCTACTCTATGTAACTAAAACACACAAGATCCGGGGCGCTCAGTGTAGTTACACTGGTGTTACATCCTGACACACATTGCAAACCTGGAATATAATGCACTTGATATTTCAACGTTTCAACATCACAAGTTCGTGAAGACATCGCAGTATGCAGGTTGTTGCTACTTTCAGGAGTATCTGACGACTGGGTTGTCCCCGCTGATGACGATAGAGTGGCTACGCGTTGTGTTGGACGAAGGTCATTGCATCAGGAACCCCAAAGCGAAGCAAACCAAAGCCGTGCTTACCCTTCAGTCACAACGCAAGTGGGTGCTCACAGGTGAGACAGACAACTACTAATGACACGCTTGTTGAACGTGTCACATACAATATGTCTCCAGACATCTAATGTCACATTGGTTATGTGAAAAAACACCACACAAAAGAAATAGATGTAAATATGAATTGTCAATGCAAGAGAATAAGCAGCCTAGATTTTCTGCCGAAACAGATTCCACTTGGCGTAAAGGTCCAAAAGCTGTTGAAATTATATGAATGGACCACAGACAATCTTCCCATTAGTGTACATCAACCTGGCCACCAAGACTCTCCTGATCATGTTTTTAGTTCTCCAGGGCCCCACCCACAAAGCGATCGTAGCGCTACGACAGTCGTAAATGTATGTTAAAGTATGGGAGTTACGATCACCTTAGCGCTACGATAGCTTTGTGGGACGGACCCTACCCGTGTATTTCACCAAAGTGGTAAACGTCTTAGGATGGCACCACGTCGCTTTCCTGTCTCATCAATCTGATACGCTAGACCTGATGTACTGTACAAAGAGGCGTTTACCTCACACACTCACTAAGGATGGCACCACGTCGCTTCACTGCCTCATCAATCTGATACGCTAGACCTGATGTACTGTACAAAGAGGCGTTTACCTCACACACTCACTAAGGATGGCACCACGTCGCTTCACTGCCTCATCAATCTGATACGCTAGACCCGATGTACTGTTCAAAGAGGCGTTAAATCACACACTCACTCACCCTAACCTTTGTATGTTATTCACGTTGACTGTTCCCCGTCTTCCAGGTACACCCATCCAGAACAGGATGCTGGATCTGTGGCCGCTCATCAGTTTCCTAAACGTAACACCTCTCAACGAGAGGCACTGGTGGCAAAGTCTGTTGGAAAAACCGCTGCAACGTGGGAAGAGGATAGCCTTCAAGTAGGTACTGGGCAGTCGTGGTCCTACAGACCTTGGAACATTTCGATACTCTGGGTCTTTGACTCAGAATAACTCCCATACTTTAACATTGACTTACGACAGTCGTAGCGCTAAGATCTTTTTGTGCAACGAGTCCCTGGTAGATGTGATTGCAGGGATAGTTGCGGTGTATATCCACATACTGGTATGAACTATCTATACACTGATTATTGAAAATATATTACTGTTTAATGATATGATCGTTTTCAGACGTGTCCAGCACCTGATGGGTAACATCGCAATGCGAAGGACAAAGAACACTCTGGTAGAAGGAGAGCCTCTTGTGAAGCTGCCCAAGAGAGAAGTGTACATGGAGCGAATCAAGATGTCGGACGAGGAGAGCCGGAGGTACAAGTCGATGGAGGAGCAGGGGAAGGTCCAGATAAAGAAGTAAGTGGCACTGAGCGTTTTTCCGCTGTCAACGCACAGCGAATACATTTAATGCAATCCCACTGATCTGATTTCCTAGCCCTGTCTAAAGCGACACTTTCTCTACAGAAAGCACTCTGTTTCCCGATTGTTAATTATTCATATTTAAAAAGACCACCCTTCTAAAATAACTGAACCTAAGAAAGTCGGTCACTTAAAACACTCCAGCATGAAACTGATTCTGATTATCAAGGAGGGTCACAAAGGCTGTTGACGATATGAAGATATAGTTTTCAAGTGGGGCGGTCGGGTAGCCTAATGGTTAAAGCGTTCGCTAGTTACGCCGAAGACCCGGGTTTAATTCCCGACATGGGCACAATGTGTGAAGCCCATTTCTTGTGTCACCCGCCGTGATATTGCTGGAATAGTGTTAAAAGCGGCGTAAAACCATACTCATTCACTCACGCACTCACTAGTTTGCAAGTAATATATGAAATACTGAATTTCATCATGGCTAGAGATAACTGCATTACACCAGAGGAAAAACTATAGACAGACCATACATTATCGAGACTGATCAAGCTTTGTATCACACAGGGCCAAAAGTAGGATTTTACATCTTTGAAACAAACGCAAATACGGTAGGAAATGCATACAAAGACCGGATTTGCCTTTGAACTACAGGCCTCACAGTATCAAAACTGGTCAACGTTATATCAGTGTACATATTGGTAGAGTTGCCTTTTACGACATGCTTGTTCACATTGTATATTGTTGATAATCTTTTCCAGCTATGTTCGGAACAACATGCTTTTAAAGAAGTATATACTTGTCTTGGAGATCATGCTCAGACTACGTCAAATGTGTTGCCATAGCTACCTGTTGCCTGCCAATGGCTATTGCCTCCCTAGTGAAGACTCGGGTATGTCTGTTTACTTTTCTCAAAAAGTCACATGCTGTCATTGCTTTCTGTTGTCCAGCTTTACGCTGTCTAGAAACGATTGGGAATTGTATGTTGACTGTTCTCATTCAGTCAGAGGGGCGAGCGGGTAGCCTAGTGGTTAGTTCGCTCGTCACGCCGAAGACCCGGGTTCGAATCCCGACATGGGTACAATGTGTGAATCCCATTTCTGGTGTCCCCCGCCGTGATTTTGCTGGAATATTGCTAAAAGCGGCGTAAAACCAAACTCACTCACTCATTAAGTCAGAAATACAACAAACCAGGAGACTCGTCTCCTCTTATACAAACGGATTGATCAGGGTGTTTGACATATAAATGATTTAAATCGTTACTACTTCAAACGGCAAAAGGTTAGAAAAGTGAAAACATAAGTAATGTACAAACACATATCCCCTTTTTGTGTGAAGATCTTAATTTTGTAACTGTTGCAAAACGTCACGTTACACTTGCTAAAGTTGGGTCTGTATCCTACGACTTCATGGTTTATCAATATATAAAGTATGTACATCAAGTGCTGTAGAAAAGAATGTTGTGTTTGTAAGTAAATATATCATCATAACATATATAAGAAAGTACTGTATGCATGATGTATTCCGGATATCAATTTATATACCATGCATACCTTGTGAATACATTGTACTGTGGCCTTACATTTCTCCTGTAAACAAAACAATTCCATTCTTCTCACTTTTTCCAGAGCAAAAATCACTTTGACCAAAGTTGTCTAGTTAGTGAGGGTTGGAATACATATAAAGATGTCATCCTTTCCAAACTTGCCATATAGCTGTTCCCAATACAAAAGGATTGTAATCATTTTCAGATTCTGAAGAAGAAGACAGCGAAAAAAAGCGTGAGAAACTGGTCGACAGACTGAAGGTGATCAGCGAGTCCGAGGAGGAGTGTTCTGTGTGTGTGGACGTCCTGAAGACGCCAGTGATACTACCGTGTGCACATTACTTCTGTCAGACATGTATCCTCAACGCCATCAAACACATGGAACACTCAGAGAAGGTAAGTGTCTCAGAGTGTTAACACTGAGGTGTAATAATGTCACAGAGAAGGTAATTATCTCAGAGTGCTAACTGTGAGGTGTAATAATGTCACAGAGAAGGTAAGTTTCTCAGAGTGTTAACAGTGAGGTGTAATAATGTCACAGAGAAGGTAAGTGTCTCAGAGTGTTAACAGTGAGGTTTAATAATGTCACAGAGAAGGTAAGTATCTCAGAGTGTTAACACTGAGGGTAATAATGTCACAGAGAAGGTAAGTGTCTCAGAGTGTTAACACTGAGGTGTAATAATGTCACAGAGAAGGTAAGTGTCTCAGAGTGTTAACACTGAGGTGTAATAATGTCACAGAGAAGGTAAGTATCTCAGAGTGTTATAAATGAGGTGTAATAATGTCACAGAGAAGGTAAGTATCTCAGAGTGTTAACAATGAGGTGTAATAATGTCACAGAGAAGGTAAGTATCTCAGCGTGTTAACACTAAGGTGTAATAATGTCACAAAGAAGGTAAGTATCTCAGAGTGTTAACAATGAGGTGTAATAATGTCACAGAGAAGGTAAGTATCTCAGAGTGTTAACACTGAGGTGTAATAATGTCACAGAGAAGGTAAGTATCTCAGAGTGTTAACACTGAGGTGTAATAATGTCAGACCCTTGTCAGCTCTTTCCAACTCTGTCATCATAGGAACAAGCTACAAATTAGCTGCATCCCATAAGCTATGTGCCCCCATCATTATCCCCATGGGGTTCGTATTAGTCCCAAACACACCACGGTTGGTTAGACGAGCCTACTGAATTGGGTCGGCTGGTTAAGCACTGTGATTTCCCTGGGTTTTTTTGTTATCGTACCCGACGGTGCTGGTGGTTACCATGTTTTCAGTCACTTGTCTCTCTGTCCAAAATTGATTACTTACAGACCGCTGTGATATAGCTGGAATATGACTGATTGCGGCAATACACAACATTCCCTCATTCACCCCGATCACTTATACAGGGATATGCTTATCGAAACTGTTCATGTGTCATGCCCACATCACACATTCTAGGTACGATATGATACATTGGTAGTTTCAGAACCAAATACATTGGAGATCCACATCCATTTTGTTGTGTGTCCAGTAGGACTCGCAGTGGATACAATCTGCGTCCATCCTGTTCACGTTTATGGTAGACCCATGAAGATCAGGCTTAAATATAGGTCTTTAGCAACCAATGCTTGTCGTAAGTGGCGACTGACGGGATCGGGTGGTCATGCTCGCTGACTTGGTTGATGCATGTCACCGTATCCCACTTGTGTATATCGATGCTCATGATATTAATCACTGGATCGTCTGGTCCATACTCCATTATTTTTAAACATAGGACATATAGCTGGAGTATTTCTGAGTGCGGCGTTAAACAAAATAAACAAACAAACAAACAGAACGTGTATGGTACAAACGTCCAGAGTGATGTATGTACTCTGTTGTTCCAGGGTTCTGCCACCTGTCCCTTGTGTCGCGCTCCTTTATCAGAGGACCAGATAATAGACCTGCCAATGCAACCAGAACCTCAGATCTACGGCGACTGGAAATCGAGTACAAAGGTAGGACTGTCCAGAACATACATATCATGCACTGTTTGAAGTTATCCTTAGAAAAATACTTAACAATGTATGCAAGCTGAATATTCATCAAGGATTAAATAGAAAATACATGAGGATATTATAACACGATAGAGATGGTTAAGAAAACGTCTCTCTTCAATGGCATAACGTTTACACCATGAAATTTTCAAAGGTTAATTTAGCAAATATATGACGTCCACACACCAAGATGATTATTGATGAAACGTGTTCGGTACAGTAATCTACGTTTATCACGAACACGCTTTTAACGAACTGACGGATATAACGAACATATTTTTTGGTCTCGGCCATTTGCTGTTTATATACTTATAACGAACTACGGTTATATCAAACAAATATTAGTGGTTCCTTTGAGTTCGTTATAACCGTAGTTTAGGGTATATGTTATTTTTATCAACTGTACCTGACCTGATGCAGGTGGATGCCCTGATGAGTGCCCTAGTGAACCTGAGAAGTGAAGACCCATCTGAAAAGAGTTTGGTGGTCTCCCAGTTCACCTCTTTCCTGACGCTCATAGAGACACCACTCAGGTAGGATCCTGCTCATTGCGCATGTCTCAGATCCATCATGAAGTCGTAAGTGTCAGGAATATCTCTCGCGTAATTTTAAATAGGAAAGAACTCACACAAGAGATCCTTTTGCATTAATATGGACAAGTCAGTGCTTCATTTACCCTGGTTCTTTTGAAGTGACAAATGAGTCTTTCGTCTTGATCAGATATGAAATATCCAACACTACGAGATCTTACCAATATTTCATCAACATGGACCAGCCAGATGTGTCTTTCGCCTTAATCAGATATGAAATATCCGACACTACTAGATCCTACAAACATATGGACCACTGACTATATTATTGATTTTTCTGTGCCTTTTGCCCTTAGAGAGCTCAAGTTCAGATTTGTGAGATTGGACGGCAAAATGTCTGCCGCACACCGCATGGAAGCTGTCAATAAGTTCTCTGACACTGAGCCGGGATCTCCCACCATCTTCCTCATCTCCCTACGTGCGGGTGGCGTGGGTCTCAACCTGACTGCAGCGTCCAGGGTGTTCCTCATGGAGCCGGTAAGAATCCAGAGTCAGTTAGCGAGTGAGTTGGGTTTAACGCCGCTTTTAACAGTGTTCCAGTTATATCACGGCGTGTCAGCTTAATGTGGGAGGAAAGCCAGAAATGATGCAGGTCTCAGACGTTTACCACTTCGGTGAAACCCACGAGCACGGGTATGGTGCTGACAAACCTAGAAACATAATCCGGGATTCGAACCCACAATCATAGGTTTCTGGCGTGCCCAAGGGACGCAACTCTGCACAGCGAATCGCGGCGCCTTTGGCGACTGGGCCACCCGTATTTTGAATGGATCCATGTCAGACTATAGCTAGATAAGAAGATAACAATAATGTGGAATCTAATCGGAAATACACACACCCACTATAATAATAATAAAACGACCCTGACATCATACCATATAGTTTTTTGTTTATAGATAAATATTCTTATGTATGGAGTACATCCATTATTGTTTTATCATTTTTTAAATTGTTATACCTGACATAATTGCTGCTGTGTGATGTAACCCCCTCTGTGATCTCCAGCACTGGAACCCCGCCACGGAGGAACAGTGCTTCGACAGATGCCACCGCCTGGGACAGACCAAAGATGTCGTGATCACAAAGGTATTTCTCTTGCTCCCTCCTCGGGGCATCTCGATTAGGATCTTATGTGCATTATTAGTAAATATCCATAATGGAAATAAAAATAGCCATATCACTTGGTCCTTCGTGGTATACTTCTCCGTGGCTACACGACCAATATTTTACCTTTAAGCGACTATACCATCATGGTAATCTGTATTCGAGGCATGTACTCGGTGTGTAAAGTGAGGTCGTATCAAGCAATGAATAGTGAGGTTTCACGTTAATGTATGTGATGTTAGTTAAGGAATCAGAGCCTGTTAATTAATTACTTATATTGGAATACAGCTTGGTACGTTGTAATCAGCGTGTTGATTATATACATGTATATTTCATTTGGTCCTGTGAGGCGTGAGGTTCTGAGGTGCATGTACTGTTTCAGTTCATCTCGGAGGACACTATTGAGGATCGTATGTTGGACCTCCAGGAGAAGAAGAGGATGCTGATGCAGCAGTCTTTCAAGAAGAAGCAGACAACCACTGAGAGGAACGAACAGAGGACACGTGATATCAGAAACCTGATGAACATCTTGTGATTGCAGCCAGACACTGATGGACAAACTGCTGTCTCTCCAACCAACTGAAGATCTTTGTGTGAATTCTGAACCTCTGACAATGTTTTGGTTGAATTCTGAATTCTGAATTTGAATCTTACGACTTATGTGTTACATCAACATATGTCGTGATAAAACGCTAATCAACATTCCGTAAAGGTCCCTGATTATTTTTATACTGCATCCTCACATAAACATCCCTGTACTCCATCCTCACATAAACATACCTGTTCTGCATCCTCACATAAACATCCCTGTACTGCATCCGCACATAAACATCCCTGTACTGCACCATCACATAAACATCCCTGTTCTGCATCCTCACATAAACATCCCTGTACTGCATCCGCACATAAACATCCCTGTACTGCACCATCACATCAACATCCCTGTGCTGTATCCGCACATAATCATCCCTGTGCTGCATCATCACATCAACATCCCTGTGCTGTATCCTAACATTAACATCCCTGTACTCCATCCGCACATAATCATCCCTGTGCTGCATCATCACATAAACATCCCTGTGCTGTATCCTAACATTAACATCCCTGTACTCCATCCGCACATCCCTGTACTCCATCCGCACATAATCATCCCTCTGCTGCATCATCACATAAACATCCCTGTGCTGTATCCTAACATTAACATCCCTGTACTCCATCCGCACATAATCATCCCTGTGCTGCATCCTCACATAAACATCCCTGTACTGTATCCTAACATAAACATCCCTGTACTGCATCCGCACATAAAGATCCCTGTACTCTATCCGCACATCCCTGTACTCCATCCGCACATAAACATCCCTGTGCTGCATCCTCACATAAACATCCCTGTACTCCATCCGCGCATAAACATCCCTGTACTGCATCCTCACATAAACATCCCTGTGCTGCATCCGCACATCCCTGTACTGCATCCGCACATAAAGATCCCTGTACTCTATCCGCACATCCCTGTACTCCATCCGCGCATAAACATCCCTGTACTGCATCCTCACATTAACATCCCTGTACTCCATCCGCACATCCCTGTACTGCATCCGCACATAATCATCCCTGTGCTGCATCATCACATAAACATCCCTGTGCTGTATCCTAACATTAACATCCCTGTACTGCATCCGCACATAAACATCCCTGTACTCCATCCGCACATAATCATCCCTGTGCTGCATCCTCACATAAACATCACTGTACTGTATCCTAACATTAACATCCCTGTACTGCATCCGCACATAAACATCCCTGTACTCCATCCGCACATAATCATCCCTGTGCTGCATCCTCACATAAACATCACTGTACTGTATCCTAACATTAACATCCCTGTACTGCATCCTCACAGTATCGGCATAATATCTCCTAAACATCTATCTACTATATTTACAATTAACATAACATGGCATAAACAATCACGTCCAGCATCACCATTACCATCCACCCACTCATTCTATATATAATGCAAATCAATCCCAAGTCTGCATCCACTCCCATTGCCATCCGTCTTCTGCATTCAGAAAACAACATACCAAAACTATCCTCACAATTCTTGAAGGTTCGAGAAACCGTGAGCACGTTCATTTCTATGTAAATATCACTCCTTTCAAACTAAATATGTGAGAGAAAAAAAAGATTTTTGAGAGCATATGCCACTGTATCGAGGAAGCTGCATTTACTCGCAGAGCGATTACTCTGAAAGCATGACAGATATATGCTAACGTGTGCCACATACGAACGGGTGGGTTGACATACATATATATATATATATATATTTATCATGTTTCATGTATAATAAGTTCATCCAACGAAGTCTCAAGATCTGAAGACAGTCCGATACCAGTGCATATTGTACAACAAAGCCAATGGAGACCTCAGTGAAACTGAACTTGAATTGTCTGGTCCAGACTCTCTATCACCGGATCGTCTGGTCAACACTCGATTGTTTACGGGCCGATGTCGCATGGCAGGATGATTGGCCAATTCGTATCGTTATTCGCCACTGTTTCGATTTTGCGCCCAAAGGAATCTGTTTGGGCAGCGTAGACGTGTTATATTTAATGCATACATTAACCATTGAGGTAAACCTACCTCGTTAAATAAGGAACTATTCAGCACACGATTTACAGTATCAACGTTTAACGCCATCGTGTGTGTGCAATATGTATATATACTCCTGGACAACATGGATCAAAGAATGCGACCACACCTGTGATTCCATGTGTTAATCTTCATGACATACATAGAAAGACTTGTACCGTCCTTTTTCCTATCGCTGTGTATACATTGAGCTAAATTGTATTATTATGCGATATGAATAACTTATATATTATAACCATATTGTTTTCTACTGTTTACATGAATTATTCTAGGCGGGACCATGATCGATTGTTATTTTGTCATATTTGTAATTTTTATACAGATATATTGATAAAAATATATTTTACTTGAAGCTGTTAAATAAAACGTTAAATACTAATGCAGTGTTGATGAATTTACACATGCTGTCTAACAGCTATATAGAACTTACCAACCTCCATCACAACCAATAAATCTATAACTGTACGTTGTACAAGGGACGTAAATATATAAGTGATAGATCTCCAACAAATATAGCACTCGCAGTACATTTGGGTCTGTGGATACGTGTGCTCTCCGTTATATCTAGTGATATATCACAAATACTGCTTCTGCCACAGTGTCAAACTATGGAATACTGTAAGGGGCATTCTCGCAATCTCGACCTTTGGAAACGAGCTACATATGCCCAAAACACGAGAATGCGAGATCGCGAGAACGCGAGATTTGGCGATCTCGCATTCTCGTGTTTTGGGTATATGTAGCTCGTTTCCAAAGGTCGAGATCGCGAGAATGCGAGATCGCGAGAATGTCCCTAACAGTATTCCATATCAAACACATATTTTTAATCAAGTAAGCCCTTGAAGAATGTTACCAATCTGACGTCCTCCAAGGTGACTTAGTGTTCCCCCTAGCATTCATAAAGGCAGGGGGCGGGAGGGTAGCCTTGTGGTTAAAGCGTTCGCTCGTCACGTCGAAAACCCGGGTTCGATTCCCGAGATGGGTACAATGTGTGAATCCCATTTCCCCGGCCGTGATATATATGGATTATTGCTCATAACCCCGCTTATCCAAATATCCGGAAAGCACACCTACCCAATAGTCTTTACGTGACACAAAATATACTTCATAAAATGCTTCATTTATCCGAAAATTTAGTGTCCGGGTAGACTAACATCTAGTCTCTGAAATGAACATATCGTACCGAAAAAACAGTTGTTCAGTTATCTTAAAAAAATATAATAAACGGGAGCCCAGTGACTCTCTTCATACTGCAGTAATCTAGACTTGCCAAACATTATAGACTTGCATGGGCTGTATTTGATATATATTTGTATCAGGGTCTGTAAGACAGACTAGTGTCCGGGTTCCAACAGTGAACGTCAAAAACCAGCAGTGCACATTTTTGTGTTCCACTTGCCAAACTGATGTTCGATGCAATTCCTATTGAGACTTGTACCATGTTCCTGCATTTATTCAGGTGAACGTGTGACACGCCTTTGCATGTGTTTTTGACGGGTACCAACTGTGGTGCAGGATACGCTGACCTCTTTGCCAACACCTGGTATCGTCACTATTTGATAGTGATTCATAAACACATGCTGGAGACATAGTTGGAATCGTACAGTGGACTCTGCTTTGTGGACGTGAATCTATGTACTGATCTGGTTCTTCTACCAAGCTGCAGCCTGACTGAGTCTGATAACAAGGCTATCAGATCAAACAGGAAGTAGCGCACTTGTGCAGTCTGACTGAGTCTGATAACAAGGCTATCAGATCAAACAGGAAGTAGCGCACTTGTGCAGTCTGGAGTGTATTATGCAGCTGGCTGTTCGTCATATCAAGTTTTATATCTGCAGAGAGGATTGAGGTCATACTCAAAGTTAGAAACATTCACAAATATCAAAAGTAAGCAATTTTATGAGCTTGGAAATTTCGTTCATTTCACAAAGTACAGATTATTTTGCATCAATACCTTATTTGATGATCTAGTGTCTTGTATAACACTTCGATTCGTTGGGATACCTAGGATCCACCCTGGGGTGGGTGTGAGTGTGGGTGTGAGTGATGGTGTAGGTGTGGATATGGATGTGAGTATGGGTGTGAGTGTGAGTGTGGATGTGGGTGTGGGTGTGGGTGTGAGTGTGAGTGTGAGTGTGGGTGTGGGTGTGAGTGTGGGTGTGAGTGTGAGTGTGGGTGTGAGTGTGAGTGTGGGTGTGGGTGTGGGTGTGAGTGTGAGTGTGAGTGTGAGTGTGGGTGTGGGTGTGGGTGTGAGTGTGGGTGTGGGTGTGGGTGTGGGTGTGGGTGTGAGTGTGAGTGTGGGTGTGGGTGTGAGTGTGGGTGTGAGTGTGAGTGTGAGTGTGGGTGTGAGTGTGAGTGTGAGTGTGAGTGTGAGTGTGGGTGTGAGTGTGGGTGTGAGTGTGAGTGTGAGTGTGAGTGTGAGTATGGGTGTGAGTATGGGTGTGAGTGTGAGTGTGAGTGTGGGTGTGGGTGTGAGTATGGGTGTGACTATGGGTGTGAGTATGGGTGTGAGTGTGAGTGTGAGTGTGGGTGTGAGTGTGAGTATGGGTGTGAGTATGGGTGTGAGTGTGAGTGTGAGTGTGGGTGTGAGTGTGAGTGTGGGTGTGAGTGTGAGTGTGGGTGTGGGTGTGAGTGTGGGTGTGAGTGTGGGTGTGGGTGTGGGTGTGGGTGTGGGTGTGAGTGTGAGTGTGGGTGTGGGTGTGGATATGGATGTGAGTATGGGTGTGGGTGTGAGTGTGGAAATGGGTGTGGATGTGGATGTGAGTGTGGGTGTGAGTGTGGGTGTGAGTGTGGGTGTGAGTGTGGGTGTGAGTGTGAGTGTGAGTGTGGATGTGAGTGTGGGTGTGAGTGTGAGTGTGGGTGTGAGTGTGGGTGTGGGTGTGAGTGTGGGTGTGAGTGTGAGTGTGGGTGTGAGTGTGAGTGTGGGTGTGGGTGTGGGTGTGAGTGTGAGTGTGAGTGTGAGTGTGGGTGTGGGTGTGGGTGTGAGTGTGGGTGTGGGTGTGGGTGTGGGTGTGGGTGTGAGTGTGAGTGTGGGTGTGGGTGTGAGTGTGGGTGTGAGTGTGAGTGTGAGTGTGGGTGTGAGTGTGAGTGTGAGTGTGAGTGTGAGTGTGGGTGTGAGTGTGGGTGTGAGTGTGAGTGTGAGTGTGAGTGTGAGTGTGAGTATGGGTGTGAGTATGGGTGTGAGTGTGAGTGTGAGTGTGGGTGTGGGTGTGAGTATGGGTGTGACTATGGGTGTGAGTATGGGTGTGAGTGTGAGTGTGAGTGTGGGTGTGAGTGTGAGTATGGGTGTGAGTATGGGTGTGAGTGTGAGTGTGAGTGTGGGTGTGAGTGTGAGTGTGGGTGTGGGTGTGAGTGTGGGTGTGAGTGTGGGTGTGGGTGTGGGTGTGGGTGTGGGTGTGAGTGTGAGTGTGAGTGTGGGTGTGGGTGTGGATATGGATGTGAGTATGGGTGTGGGTGTGAGTGTGGAAATGGGTGTGGATGTGGATGTGAGTGTGGGTGTGAGTGTGGGTGTGAGTGTGGGTGTGAGTGTGGGTGTGAGTGTGAGTGTGAGTGTGGATGTGAGTGTGGGTGTGAGTGTGAGTGTGGGTGTGAGTGTGGGTGTGAGTGTGGGTGTGAGTGTGAGTGTGAGTGTGAGTGTGAGTGTGAGTGTGGGTGTGAGTGTGGGTGTGAGTGTGAGTGTGAGTGTGAGTGTGAGTGTGAGTATGGGTGTGAGTATGGGTGTGAGTGTGAGTGTGAGTGTGGGTGTGGGTGTGAGTATGGGTGTGAGTATGGGTGTGAGTATGGGTGTGAATGTGAGTGTGAGTGTGGGTGTGAGTGTGAGTATGGGTGTGAGTATGGGTGTGAGTGTGAGTGTGAGTGTGGGTGTGAGTGTGAGTGTGGGTGTGAGTGTGAGTGTGAGTGTGGGTGTGGGTGTGAGTGTGGGTGTGAGTGTGGGTGTGGGTGTGAGTGTGGGTGTGAGTGTTAGTGTGGGTGTGAGTGTGAGTGTGAGTGTGGGTGTGGGTGTGGGTGTGGATATGGATGTGAGTATGGGTGTGGGTGTGAGTGTGGAAATGGGTGTGGATGTGGATGTGAGTGTGGGTGTGAGTGTGGGTGTGAGTGTGGGTGTGAGTGTGGGTGTGAGTGTGAGTGTGAGTGTGGATGTGAGTATGGGTGTGAGTGTGAGTGTGGGTGTGAGTGTGGGTGTGAGTGTGAGTGTGAGTGTGAGTGTGAGTGTGAGTGTGGGTGTGAGTGTGGGTGTGAGTGTGAGTGTGAGTGTGAGTGTGAGTGTGAGTGTGAGTATGGGTGTGAGTATGGGTGTGAGTGTGAGTGTGAGTGTGGGTGTGGGTGTGAGTATGGGTGTGAGTATGGGTGTGAGTATGGGTGTGAATGTGAGTGTGAGTGTGGGTGTGAGTGTGAGTATGGGTGTGAGTATGGGTGTGAGTGTGAGTGTGAGTGTGGGTGTGAGTGTGAGTGTGGGTGTGAGTGTGAGTGTGAGTGTGGGTGTGGGTGTGAGTGTGGGTGTGAGTGTGGGTGTGGGTGTGAGTGTGGGTGTGAGTGTTAGTGTGGGTGTGAGTGTGAGTGTGAGTGTGGGTGTGGGTGTGGGTGTGGATATGGATGTGAGTATGGGTGTGGGTGTGAGTGTGGAAATGGGTGTGGATGTGGATGTGAGTGTGGGTGTGAGTGTGGGTGTGAGTGTGGGTGTGAGTGTGGGTGTGAGTGTGAGTGTGAGTGTGGATGTGAGTATGGGTGTGAGTGTGAGTGTGGGTGTGAGTGTGGGTGTGAGTGTGAGTGTGAGTGTGGGTGTGAGTATGGGTGTGAGTGTGAGTGTGGGTGTGAGTGTGGGTGTGAGTGTGGGTGTGGGTGTGAGTGTGAGTGTGAGTGTGGATGTGAGTATGGGTGTGAGTGTGAGTGTGGGTGTGAGTGTGGGTGTGAGTGTGGGTGTGAGTGTGAGTGTGAGTGTGGATGTGAGTATGGGTGTGAGTGTGAGTGTGGGTGTGGATGTGAGTGTGGGTGTGAGTGTGGGTGTGAGTGTGGGTGTGAGTGTGGGTGTGGGTGTGGGTGTGAGTGTGGATGTGGGTGTGGGTGTGAGTGTGAGTGTGGGTGTGAGTGTGAGTGTGGGTGTGAGTGTGAGTGTGAGTGTGGATGTGAGTATGGGTGTGAGTGTGAGTGTGGGTGTGAGTGTGAGTGTGGGTGTGGGTGTGAGTGTGGGTGTGAGTGTGAGTGTGGGTGTGAGTGTGAGTGTGAGTGTGGATGTGAGTATGGGTGTGAGTGTGAGTGTGGGTGTGAGTGTGGGTGTGAGTGTGGGTGTGAGTGTGAGTGTGAGTGTGGGTGTGAGTATGGGTGTGAGTGTGAGTGTGGGTGTGAGTGTGGGTGTGAGTGTGGGTGTGAGTGTGAGTGTGA